GAAGGTGTCTGTGCAACCACCAGGTGCAAGGCAGACCACGTAGTGGGAGGATACTCAAAAAGCCCCGTGCCAGGATTCTGAGGCTTGCATGCATGGTCGGCACCCCAGAAAAATCACAGTCTAATTTGTTCTGACATATATTCCCTCCGTATGGTTGGGCTGAAAATTTCACCTATCTTGTAGAAATGTGAACAGTGCCGTATCACGGGGCTGTTCTCAGGATTAGCTGGACCAAATCTGCATAGCGCTGCAGTAAACACTGAAGAGTACAAACTGGAATAAGCCACTTGCACATTTTCTGGTCACAACAGCTGAGGACAAAATGTATTGAATGCTAAAATAGCTTAACATTTGCTTTACAGGCCTATGATAAAATGCTAAGTACAGTGGTCCTGCGTTAAGGGATTGCCTATGATATACATCATCCATCTGAGGTTGAGCAACTGCCCTCATATTCTGCCATCAGCTAAAGATGGCGCATTCCTGGAGGTTTGGTGCTTCTGTCATGACAGTTTGCTAGAAGCCCTTTGCTGGGCAAAGACTTTACCAAGCTGGCCAGAATATTAGGGCACTCTACAAAGTGGTTTGGGTTTAAAGTCCTCTGGAGAAAAAAAAAAAAAAAAAACAAAGCACATAACAACTTCAAATAATATTGGCTCACCTTGAGATCAGGCACCTGGCAATTGAGAAAGAGGTGGACATAGATTCCTGTCACTCTGGGTTTGGTTGATCTAACCTCAAATGTATTTCCCAGGAAAATCCGTCTATTAGACCTCCCATTGGGATGGCCAACATGAAACTTTCTGGCCAATTCAATATTTGCTGAGGGGAAGAAACGTAGGAGAGTTGGTCTGGTTTAGTCACAAGGAAACTCTGAGTGCTTTCAGAAACAAATAAATCACACAGTTTGGCAAAAACAAGGCTACTGCTAGACAGCCTTAATCTCACAAGGAATACGTGAAAGAAATGAAGGTGATAGGAGCAATCACCAAAGAGTCAACATAGAATCAAGAAGAGAAGATAGGGTAGAAGCCATTCCAACCAATTAGCTGGCTGAAAATCAGGAGATTAATCTGAGTAAATAGTCAGTCAGTTCCCCTGGGTCGCTATAATATTTCACAGCAGTACCAGCTCTTCACAATATAAAAGCAATGACGGAAAGCATACAGCAGAAAGAGCTACTATATGGCCTATTCCTGAACAGCAGTCTACTGATGATGATGATAAAATTTGGAATTTTGTCCATCATGGGAAATATGACAGAATGAGGCACAGAATGACGTAACAAAGAGAGCAACAGACTATGGATCAGAGGTTTTATTTCTATTTCCATGACAGGCCTGCAGGGTGACTGCAGATAAGGCCTCATGCTCCGGCTCAGTTTCCCCACAAGCAAAGCATGCAGGAACCTCGCACTTTGAGTCACAAGAATAGTCCCCACCAATCTGGTTTGAAAATTTAAGAAGCCTCTAGAAAAAAAAATACTGGAAATATGTAATCAATTTCTTGAAAACAAGAATCAGTTCACAAACTCTCCTTTTCAGAAGTTCTGTTATCAGAGAAAAGAGAATGGAAAAGTCAATATAGCACAAACATACCTGTGAATTAAGCTGTTTGGGGGCAGATGCAGGCAAGTTGCAATATCATGGCCCTCTGCACTGGCTATTTAATCTCTAAGTGAGGTGTGTTCTGCTGAGCAGACATAGCCAAATTCCAGGAACAGGTTTTAAGGCTGTCTTGAACACACAGCCGACTGTTCACGTTCCTTCCTGATATCCTTTAGCATGGAGGTGTGTGAGAAGGCAACTCAAAAGTAGGTGGAGGTTTTTCTAGAGAACACTTCCCTCCAGCAATTGCTGACAGAGGAACAGGCTGTGACACTGTTTCAAGATGGAGGAAATGATAGCAACCCCCGTAGGTATTATTCGCTGCCATTAACAACATGGTCGATGGGTGGAAAGATAATGGCAAGGCAATGCCATCTCCATGCCCTGCCTTCAAATGCATAGCCTGAAAAGCCAGCCTGATGTTGATATAATGTTTTCAACCTATAATCTGCTAAATGCTGCAATTAAATAGTTGTGCTTAAGGTTATAACTGGTTTTAAATTGTACAGTGTAACATTGAGCGTTAGAATTGACAAATGCCATTCCCCGTTGAGCAAGTAACTGAACCTAAGCCTGGGGGCTGAGAGCTGAAAGAGCACCCAACAGTTGTGGAGGGGAGGAACCCCCAAAAGGAGGAGTATTGTATTGGCATCTGGGGAAGAAAAAGGGGAGAAAAGTGAAAGGGAGCAGTGGAAGGGCCTAAAACATGTTTATTTTACACAGGCTGTGCTGTTGTGCTTGGCAGGTATTTCCTTTAAGGTAAGGTAGCCTGGCATGAAGTGGCAAAAGGACTGTCGTTTTACTGGCATAGCAAAGTTTGGGGCAACAAGCTGTGCCGGTGCGTGCAGGCACCCCCTCCTAGGGAAATAGCTCCCAGTGTGGGGTGCAAGTCTGGCCTCTTGGGGGAAAAAAAAAAAAAGAAAGAGTTCTGTGCTAAAAATTGCTCTTGTGAACTGCACAGTGTCAGGAGAGGAAGCGGTAGAAGAGTTTCTTCTACACTAGAGGATGGTGGTAGTTTTCAACACCACATACGTTCTTGCTGTGAGCCAAAATGACAGCAGCTATGCAAAGCTGCTATGAACATGGAGCAAAGGAAAGAAAGGATCGAGGAACCAATTCCTTGGGCTCTGGCGGGCCCAAACCGCAACAGATTGCCACATGAAGGGGTAAGCTACCTGTAGACAGAGAGACTTCACTGAGGACTGTGAAATAAACCATTTATACATTAATACATTCATGTTATACTTCATTTACCTATGCAGTTGCCTTTCCCTTTCCCTCTTTAATGAAGTATTGTTACACTTGGGAATGGGGAAAATTAGCTCATGAGATACCAGAAGGTTTAGTTCAATTTTTTCCCAGGTTTCAAGAAGAGGCTTGAAGCTGTTGTTTTATTAGCAGCCCTTGATAATTTGAACTGACCCCAGTGACTGTCAAACAAGTCCTGACATAAGTTAGGCTAAGAATAATTTAATGCAAGGTTGGACCAGATGATCTCGAGATGTCTCTTCCAATCTAGACTTTATGATGGTATAAATGGATGATTTCTTTTTTTTTTTTTAAATAGCTGTGTGACTTAGAGGCAGAGCTACATGAATAACCGATCTTTTGGTTAACTGGATGAACAGAAGGTCGAGGCGGGAGACACAGTGTTGGGAAACAAAATTTTCCAACTCTCAGCAAGCTTTCCTTTCCCATTACAAAAACACTTAGCAGTGTATCAAGGCATTGCATTCCAGGCAAAATGTACCAATTTCTAGTCCTTTCACAAAGACTATATTCAGTTAGGGGGTTTTGAACAAAATGCTACTTAGGATGAAAAATCAAACTGTTTAAAAACACATCTCAGGCTTTTAAAAAAATGTGTTGTTTTCTTGAGGGAACTATTCATGAATTTCTGAAGAGGCGACTGAAAGCATGGATAGTCTCCAGCGAGCCCAACTTAATTTTTTGCCAGATAGACTATTTCATTAAAAACCAATCAATCCCTTTGTCTGCTTAATCACTGTTCTGACAGGCTGTAAAGGAAAGACGAAGAATTCCTGCTTTGTGCAGTGCTGCACAGAGTCACATGAAGGCTAAATGGAAAGCCAAACCTAATTTTGCAAGGGGCCATTAGGAGCCGTGGGCTCTCCAGTCCTACAAGGATAAAATCTTAACACAACAAGGTCCTGAGTTTTAAAGGCAAATGCCTGAAGTTCTGCTCACCAGCCCGTACTTACCCATTTAAATACCTGGGTTGGCACACAAGGGTACTCAGCGATCATGGCTTGCGAGTTAATGGGAAATGCTGGGTGCTCAGGACTTTTCAAAGTCCTATCAGTTCCTTTGGTACCTTGGGAGGTCTCGGACCATAGATACAAGTTTACATATTCATGGATGCACACAGTCCGCTTGAAGTTAATGACACCACACAGTCCAATATGGTAATTTTTTTTTTTTTTAAATGGATATTTAGGGATGATTTTGAGTCTGACTTCAGGCATTTTTGCTTTTACGGTAAACCTTGGCCCAAGATTTTCCTCACATAGCTCACAAGACGCCTTTAAATTCTTTTCCTCACCATCTTCCTTCACTGGATTACTAAGTGAAAATAACCATTTGTTGTAACATCCAGCAGTAATTCAAAATTGAGTAATTAAACAATAGGTTAAAAGATATCAAACCTCTGCAAAAGGAAAACTGACATCAGTAAAGATCCTTATACTCTGTTTGAATGAACCTAAATAATAAACAGAGATTACTTCTTGAGGCACTATCTCTCTTGGGTGCTGCATCAAATCCGAGCTTAAAAGCCAGGATCGCTCCTCCTGGACAAGCTAAGCGAACAGGACTTTCTGCTCCAAGTATCCGAACATTACTGGCTGAAAAAAAAAAAAAAAAAAAAAAAAAAAAAAAAAAAAGACAGACAAAGCAGAGGCAAAATACTGATTGACTGAGGGCATATGGGAGACCTAAGGACAACAATCAATCACGGATGTGTAAGCTGTTTAAAACTACTCAATGCTCGGGAACCAGCGAGGAAGCAGCATCTGTGTGCTCTGACCGGCTGTGGTGCCTGCAGACCCCAACCCAACCCCAATTACCAGGAAGCGCTGCCACGAGAGCCTGCTGCCTGCGCTTTTCCCCGCAGTGCCGGCGGGGAGCACTGCACAACCCGCACCCCCTGTTACAGGGGGTCACTTGAGCACGGAGACGGAGCCTGGGCCTCTAAACATTTAGACAGCTGACGTTTTTGGCAGTATTTTGGGTTTCCCCATCCAGGGTTTGCAGGGGTACCTCTTTGGACACGTCGGGACAGGAGCGCCCAGCGCAGGCCATGTATCACGCAGGTTGGATGGGGAACACAACTGCTGTCGCTGCGTTTGAGGCTAATCAGGTTTGATGTCTCAC